TGTGAGAGAGTGAGAGAGAATGAGAAAATGTGAGAGAGAGAGAGAGAGAGAGAGAGAGAGAGAGAGAGAGAGAGAGAGAGAGAGAGAGAGAGAGATAGGCGGCCCTGTGATCGCGCCATGCAGAAACCAGAAAAAAAACTAGCGTACCTATATCTCTGATTCTTCTTCTATTTATTTCTTTCTTTCTATACTCTTTCTCTATTTTTCGATATAGAACGCGTTCGTTCATTGGACGTTTTGAGTTGAATTCATCGATTCCTATAGGACGACAGTGGTTCTCAAAAGTGTCATTTTTACTGATCACAAATCAGACTTTTCATTTGATTATTTTTGTTTTTCCAAATTTATAATATTCTTTACAATTATAATTGAATTTGATGTCTGTTGGTGTTTAATAAGTTCTTGGAAAAAATGATTATCGAACGTTTAATTGTTAGTTTTTTTTTGTTCTGTTTATATGTTAATTCGTAAATGATCGTAATTGAAAAGAGGTTATGTATCACGTGATCATTTGATGCATGTACGTAATAATTACGTATAAGGATAAATTCAAATGTTAGGATAACTCTAAGGTAGATAACGGGATAATTCTAATTATTATTATTATTATTATTATTATTATTATTATTATTATTATTATTAATATTATTATTATTGAAAGAAAATACGTTTTATAAGAGATACCTTCGATTTATCTTCTCGTAGGTGGTAAAGAAGATGATCCTAAAGGTTGCTCGTCCAGTGCCTTGAGTTCGTCTCAAAGCAAGAAGCAACGGAAAGCTCGTACGGCTTTTACCGATCATCAGTTGCAGACATTGGAGAAGAGTTTCGAACGACAAAAATATCTCAGCGTACAGGATAGAATGGAACTCGCGTCTAAATTACAGCTTACCGATACACAAGTGAAAACGTGGTATCAGAATAGAAGGTAAGATTTAAATTAAACAAATAATAATAATAATAATAATAATAATAATAATAATAATAATAATAATAATAATAATATTAATAATAATAATAATCATGTTTATTATTATTACTATAGTTTTGTTATATAACAAATAAATAAATTCAAAATGTTAGTAGCAACAAAATCAAATATCAGTAATCACTTTTAAAACGTTGAATATTTTTTTCTAAGGAATGAATATAAACTATTAAATCGATAACCCATTACGCGCACGCAACGTTGTCCTTGAAAAATTTTTTTATCATCGTCTCTGTATATATTCTTTTATTTTATATATTAGTATATATTCTATTAACACGAGTCCTTAATGTTATATTTAGTTGTTACGTAAAACTAATACATGTTAATTGTGTTCAAATCGTTTTAGATTCATAGATAGAGAATTATTACAAAATTAAATATACTTTGGTAGCGAGGGGTGATCTTTATCAATATTCGAATTGCCAAAAAGACATTACAAAAAATACTCGGATTCTTAAAAACATAATTAAAATCAATTCACCTTAAATATATCTCTACAATTTATCCTAAAAAAATACGTACCGTTTCTCAACACTATCATCGTGTTTAATTTAATTCTACTACACAAATCATATCTATAATTAATATTGAAATTGTGATAGCTCGTTTAAATAATTAAATTATTTGATAAATAGAAAAATAAAATGAAATGAGAATAAAAAAAAAAAAAACAGAAAAAGAAAAGATAATTCTAATAAATAAACAAAAATTAAAATACGATGAATAGATACGGTTAAAAAACCATCTGAGATTTGGTTAGATCGTAAAACACGAGTTTTGTTGCCAGTAAATCAATCAAGAATATATCCGCATCATGATCAACGGGATAGATGATGAATCCAGAACGCACGGGACGGACGGACGGATGGACGGCGGTGCGTTCTTTTATGAGGACGCGTGTCGAATCCGTAAATGGAAATCGCGGCGGGCAACAAAGCCGTTGTTTACGTGGTTAAACGCGAGGATCGTCGGTAGAACTAAATTCCAGGATAAAAATCACGGAAGCCATGCTTTTCTCTTGGTTCCATGGACTAGAACGGTTATAGCGTTGTTAATGAGTACATTCGCGTTATAAAGTAACCGTCAACTCTCTTTCAAATCCGGACTTGTCTTTTTCTCTCTTGTTCGAACATTGTTCCGGGTTATTCTTTACAATTTCATATTTTCTTTTTGTTTTTTTTTTTGTTTTATATTTACATTATTTCAATTTTCACGCATGTGTATTTAAATATGTCTCCTCTTTACACCTTTTCCGTCCCCCCCCATCGGTAACACACATGGGTCTTTTATTGTTATTAATATTGTGTTTAATTTTTAATTCAATTTGAAAATTGAATTAAATTCGCATGTGAAAAGGAATTAATATAATGCAATTATATATTGATAAGTTAGTAGAAACGTTTCCTCGTGCTTGACATCAATTATTATGTATTTTTCAATTGATTTAATATTCTAACCTTAAATTTTCTCGAAAGAATACAAAATGGCGTCACATCATATTTGAAATAAACGTTTCACATTATTATATTCAAATAGATAATTAGAAAAGAAATGAATATAATCACAAATTACATATTGATAAATTATTAAAAACATTTCCTTAGACTTGACATTAATTATTATATACTTTTCAATTGTGATTTAACATTCTAACCTTAAATTTTCTTGAAAGAATACAACATGGCGTCGTATCATATTTGAAATAAACGTTTCACATTATTATATTCAAATAGATAATTAAAAAAGAAATGAATATAATCACAAATTACATATTGATAAATTATTAAAAACATTTCCTTAGACTTGAAATTAATTATTATATACTTTTCAATTGTGATTTAACATGCTAACCTTAAATTTTCTCGAAAGAATACAAAATGGCGTCGTATCATATTTGAAATAAATGGTGATCCAATAATTATATTAAAATAGATAATTTATCGATCAAAAAAAATGATTTATTTTCGTGACAATATTTATAATAATGAATGAACGATTAAAGACACGGTAAATTAAATGAATAGAATGAAGATTATAAACGTCCATTGGAAATTCGTCACACTTCGAAACGATCCTTCACAAGGTCTTTGTTTCTTCGTTCTCGTTCATGTTTAGTGGTCTTTCTCTCTCTCTCTCTCTCTCTCTTACCTTTTCCTCAAACTTTTTCTCTCTCGACGTTTTATAGATTTCAGAATATACAGCGGCATCCTTTGCTCCCCGTATAGAAAATTTTACAAAGTCATCCGGGTTTGAGTCTGCCTGCCAGCCGTTTTCGAGGCTTCTCTTTTGTTTCTTTTGTTAACATTCTATACACAACTCCACAACACAACACAACATCTTTCCGAAATGACTACTATACTCGTTAACCATTCGAGAAAGTGATTTCGTTGTCGTCGTCTTTCTCTTTCTCTCTTTTTTAGGTTAGTATTAAATTTACTGTGAAAATTCGAAACCATTTATTTATACTGTATTCTTTCTTTTCTTTGAGAAAACCATGTTGGTTACGGTCAATTAAAACAAAAACATAATTGCCAAGAGATGTCCGTAATGCATACAACACATTGTGACTGATCATCATAAATCAAGAAATTTAAGAAGGATAAAAGTCCTGGTGGTAATACGAGTCACGAAAAAGTTAGCCTCTTCTTTTTTCCACCATCCTTAACCCCTCCCTTCAATCCCATCTTCTGTTTTTTTTTTTTAACTTTTTCCAATATCTTTTTCTTTTTCTGTTTTAGTTTTTTAGGTTAGTTTTTTTCAATTTTTGTAATTGAAGTTAATTTCGTTCATATATAGTGCGATTTGCAATATAAAAATAAAAATATATTACTTATTTAATACTTGTACTTTAATTTAATATAAAAATCATTAAAATCCATTTGCTAAAAGTATAACAAATATTTACCGAAACTTTTCAAAGAAATTGCAATGATGCACACTTAACAGCATTAGATTCGTAGACATTTTCTGCACTTTACATTTGATTTTCATAATTCTACAAAGTATTCTACGCGTAGAAAAAAGAGTGTACTTTAATTTAATATAAAAATCATTAAAATCCTTTTGCTAAAAGTATCAAAAATATGTACCGAAACTTTTCAAAGAAATTACAAAGATGCACAATTTACGGCATTGCATTCTCTGACATTTTATGAAAATTTGCACAGATCAATTTATAACTCAAAAATTATTGTTTAAAAAGTAATATTGAAAAATAGTAATTAGTATTTCGGATAGGGACGTCATGGTGAGATTAATTAGTCCCTAGAAAGAAAGGACGAAGTCACGAAGGTTGTATGCATATATATCTGTATATGTATATGTGTGTGTGTGTGTGTTTGGAAATAAGATCACCAAGTTTCGATGAAAGTGACGATGTAGCGAGAAAAGGGCAAAAGGAATAGAAAATGAGAAAATAAAAAATGAGAAAAATAGACGAACACAAAGGGAAAAAAGAAAAACGAACAAAAGTAAAAAAAAGAAAAAAAGAAAAAACTGAAGGAAAATTAGTGACGCTCCTGTCAGCTTGCTTCTTAAGTGTCCCGCTTAAACTTTTGTTGCTTCTTAAGTTCTTCTTCGAATGACTCGGCTCGTTCCCGCAGATAGGCGCCCTGGCCACACCTAGGGCGCCACTACGACGACGTATTTTGTTTTATTCTCATTCTTATTTTCTTCTTATTCTTAGTTTTATTTCTTCTTATTTATCTCTTCCCCGTGTCCCTGTTTTACACGTTCAAAGATATAAAACGGAAATGGAAGACGTCAAAACGAATCGTTTCGATTAATCTCATGTTAGAAAGATTTTCTTGTTCGTAACCACTGGCCAGGATTATTTATTCTGTTTGTTTGTTTTTTTCTTTGTATTAGCACATTTCAAAAAATATATTCAGATTTTATGCTAACGAATACTGTATAATAATTACGATTGATATCAGCTATGCAAAAACATAAATTTTAACTATTATTATTATTATTATACATTGCAATATATGTTTAAACGTGCCTAATGTTAAAGTAAAATAACAACATTTGGTAAGATAATTTTTATTAATTATTATTAACACTGTTTATTAATAATTATTCTGTTATAATAATGAAAATATGTGTATCGTAGAAATAAAAAAGGAAAAAAGAAACAACAAACTTACGATACACGAATGAAATCATTGTTTGAATCAACTTTTTGTATAATTAACATTCGTAAATATGCGTTTACAAAGATACCGATTAACATCTATCTTTCCTTCTTATTTTTTTAATACTGCTTCCTTGAAAAAAGAAAAAGAAAAATAAAAACAACGTCAATTAGTTGATCGTTTAGTTATTTATAAGTCATTAGTAACTCGTTACGTTATTTACGGTAAATGCACGGCACGTAAAAATCACCGTAGCCACCCACTCACCTTCTTAGAGTCACGTGTATTACCAGTATAAGCTTTTATATACATTGCGATTATGTAAATCAATTTGCGTATTTTATCGTACTCGGTTATATGTTTTTCAAAATAATCTTTCCGCTGTTAAAGAAATGAACAACAACAACAAAATGCATAATCTTGTTAACAACGAACAAATATGATTACGAAAGAAAATTTCATTAAGAAAATAATATGAAATATAAAATATGATAGTAGAATATAAAAAAAAAAATATAAAACTGAACTACATATATTTCAAGAAAAAACATTGATTTCGTTCCGTTTCGTTTCGTTTCGTTAATCATTGTTAAAAAATAACGATGTGGCATTGTGTTAGTTAGTTCAAACATCGAAGTAAAAGGGAGCCGCTTTGGTAGCGATTTCAAAAAACGTCAGACAAGATAGAAAGCACCATCGAGCTACCGCATAATACTCTAGAATTACGAGTCACGTCCCGGGGGCAGGATCCTCTCTCACGCATACGAGAGAGAGGAGAGAGTGTATATGTGTGTGAGAAAG